CAATCTGTAGTGACAGGAAGCTTATCAGTAGCTGCCTAGGACCCTGGGAGGACTGAATACAAAGGGTCATAGAGAAAACTTTTGAAGATGATGGTGATGGATTTGTGATTGTGATGATGACCTAATGGGTATGTATGTGTGCCCATAAATTACACATTTAAATGTTTATACGATCTCCATAAATTATTCATTTTCAATGTTTAATCTGTTATACATCAATCATTTTGTAAAATCCAGGGTTGCTAGGCCACGAGTTGTGCCTCTCTGGTGTATAAATCTCTGTGACATGAGTAATTCATCTGGTATTTCCAATGGGAATTACCTAAATACATAAAGAGAGCCAATGTTTGAATGTCAGCAAAATGTTGATGCCCCATGTTTTAGTTTCCTATTAAATTCCCAGAGAGAGGCCTCCCTGATGGCACAAGGAGTTAAGCACAGCACTGTGAAGCTATCTTCAGCCTCTGCAGCAAGAGTTCGATCCCCAGCCAGGGAGGTGACCCACATGGCACAGCAGACCTCTCCTGACTCGCCCCCTGCTCTCCTCAGGAGCATACTTCAGTGCATCTGCCTGTTCTGCTCCCCACTGTCTCTGATGGATCCTCTCACCCCCTGTACCTCTGTCCTGTACCCCAGTTCTTGCATGCATAAATAAATCAATTTTAAAAAAATAACAAATTCCTAGAGAGAAAAATAAAGCCTATATATCATTTCTTTCACATTAATGTCTAATGGCCAAAAAAATCAAAACCCACCCAGAACTGAATTATTTTGCCCTTATAAGATAAAAAAAAAAAAAACAATGTAATTAAAGGCCTTCCCAGTATCATACACTGTTCACTCACAATCAGAATGTCCTAATGCCCAGATGACTTCCTACAGCAGCTGCAGCCTGTGTATTTCTTGGGAATAGATGTGATGTGACTCATTCTGTTCTTCTAAAGTTAAGTTAACTCAGCATCAAGTATATGTTTCAGCTTTTAAAAGGTCCAAATAATAGAACACCCAGGATTAGCATAGCATTTGCCTCACATCCATAAAGTTTAAAAGGCAGTTATCCTGCACAAAATCATGTTCCCAGAATCCAGTAGTTGTTAATGCCAAAGACAGTAAGTAGCAGAATCACTATAGAATAAACTCAAGGATCTGTTGAAGGCATAGCTGGGAACGGCTTCAGCCCCATCAGAATGCCAATAATTAAACTAATTGTCCTGGGTATTTTAAATGGGAAGAAATTTTTCATCAAGAAGTCAAATGTGTCATCAAATATTTAGCATAACCCACTGTATCTTCTCTCTCAGAATGTGGCATTTGAGACTGATGCTGTCTTGCTAAGTACACATTTCACTGCTTCAGTATAGGTCACCAGGTTGAGCTTGAAGTTATCTTTCCCATCTAGATACTTACTCGCCTGCTCTTTTACATTGCATTTTAGTAAGCGTAAAAGACACTTGAATTTCTCTGGAAGTCTATATTGCATATAAATCTTCTGCCTTGAGGGCCTCCCCTGCTGGCGCAGTGGTTGAGCGCTGGGCTGTGAAGCTGCCCACAGCCTCTGCAGCACCGGTTCGATCCCCGGCCACTGGTGAGGGTCCCACATGGCGCGACAGACTTTTCCTGCTGTGCCCGCTGCTCCCCTCAGCAGTGTATTTCGTCACTCTGCCTGTTCTGTTCCCTGCTCTGGCTCTGGTGAATTCTCTCACCCTCCCATGCTTCTGACTGTACCCAGTGCTTGCATGAATAAATAAATCTTTAAAAAAAAAAAAAAAAAGAGAGAATGTCAACACTTAAAAATAAAAAAAAAAAATCTTCTGCCTTGAAGTTTAAAAGCAGCAACTAGTAGTTACTGTTGAGCACACCTATATTTTTTCTGTTACTAAATCCTTGCCTCAAATGAAGTTTTGCTAGGGTCTCTGCCACCTGTGATGAAGCCCCTGATGCTCATATAGGAACCTAGGTGTAGTTCAAGGTCAAGAGGCAGCAACCTGCACCCTGAGGCTGCCTGAACATGCCACTGCCTGAATAATGCCAGCAGATTCAGACTCACTAAGCCTTTTTTTTTTTTTTAAAGATTTATTTCTTTTTATACAAGAATCAGAGTACAGGCTAGATGCGCGAGAGGGTGAGAGAAGTCACCAGAGACGGAGCAGGGAACAAAACAGGCAGACTGACAAAATACACTGCTGAGGAGACAGCGGGAGAGATAGGAGAAGTCTGCCTCACCATGTGGGCTTCTCGCCGGCCGGCGGGGATCGAACCCACCTGCAGAGGCTGTGGACAGCTTCATAGTGCGGCGCTCAACCGCCTGCACCACCAGGGAGACCCAATAATCCTCTTGATGGCAATAGTGGAGACCATCTAGGAGGCCAGCATTTGGGTGAGTCCCATCGAAACCTTCTATTTCTTTGCTGAAATGGATCTCCATCACTCCCACCCCTTTATCCCCACCCTGCTTCTTTGTGGAGGTGTGCACACTTGTGTTTAAGGCCTGTATCACACCCTTCCTTTAGAAATAACCACATTTCTGTGGATAAAGCTACCCTAAACTTTAGGTCAAAATCCCATGTGCCTTAAGCCTTAAAGCTTTGTCCAAAACCACAATTTAAAAGCCTATTGCACATTTATAAAAATCTCATTAATGGTCCACCACATGCCTCTACAAACTGTCAAACCCAAAATTCCCTGTGTACACATTAATCTGTCTGAAACCACAATCTCTGGCCACCCAAAGCTTTTCCATTTGTACCGTTCCCTCCCATTTCATTTATTTCTCTACATACTAACGTATGCAGCACAAATTGGAGTTTGTTACGTTCCTGGGAACATAGGATCTCCCATATTCTGCCTCCATCACTCCACCCCTCTTCCTATTCACCAAAACTGTCCTTTTCAATTTTCAGTTAATAATAATCAAAAGCACATGCACTCCATAGGCAGGCCAGGTCCTGCTTCCCAACTTATCATTTAGATAAGTCACTATGTCTCTGAACAGAACAAAGACAGTAAAGGACCAGGTTATGCTGAAAATGCAGCCTTCATGTGGAAGGAATGGAGGAGTGTTAGCTCCCATAAGTAATGTAACTATTTTTAAGACTTCTAAATATATCCCAAGCATGTTTCCTTTGTAATTTCCCCATGCGATCTTGACCTCTAATTCTCAACTTAGAGGCTTTTTTCACATGCCATATTATCCATGAAACGCCTTGATATCATCAACTAGATGAAATCTCTTTTTTGAAGCCCTGGCTCAGTGCTCTGCAAAGTATGATTTAAGGGCCAATAACAGCTGAATCATTGGAGGCGCTAGTTAAAATATTCACTACTGAGCCCATCAATGCTATTCAATTCTCTGGGGGTGTACATTGTAAAAAGCTGCTTGGGGGATTCTTTAGTGCACTGAAGTCTGAATATGTTTTGTACCTGACAGTGAGTGATTACTTTTCATCCTCTGATGTAACTATATGGCACTCTCAAGATCCTGTGAGGAGGGATTCTTTTTTAAAGAACTCCTTAATATGGACTTAGCAAATATAGCAGCTGCTTCATCAAAAAATTAAAATGAAGTTTTATTCATATCTGAAATGGACTAGATCTTTTCCCATGTTTTGTCCTAACCTGATGGTATCGGGAAGTAAAACACATGCACAAAATCATCACAAGAAAATTAATTGAGGACTTCCCTGGTGGCGCAAAGGGTTAAGCACCGCACTATGAAGCAATCCGTAGCATCTGCAGCACAAGTTCAATCCCCGGCCTGCCAGAGAGAAACCCAGATGGTGCAGCAGACCTCTCCTGCCTCGCCCGCTGCTCCCTTTGGCAGTGTATTTCAGTTGGTCTACCTGTGTTCTGTTCCCCACTGTCTCTGGTGAATCCTCTCACCCCCACATCCTGGCCTGTACCCCGGCTCTTGTATGCATAAATAAATCTTAAAAAAAAAAAAGAAAATTGAGATACTTTGCCTCACCATGTACTATCTTCACCACTGTAGTCAAATTCAGACTTCCCAATTTCTTCATTTTAAATGCAAATTTCTAATAATTTTTTTCTAGCAATAAAGAATGCTGTTCTTAAGTTGTTTCCTCAGCATCTCCTAATGGATTTTTAAATACAGAGTTACAAGTAGAGGCAAGGGCTCCCTAAAACAATGTAATTGTAAGCTACATCTGCTAACATTTATAAAAACTTATTAAGCAAGTCTTACAAATATTATTTTATAGAACTTTTGTTTATAATAATGATAGGCAGGCCTTTCTCATTTTGCAGTGATTCCAAGGAGAGAGAAGCATTCCAGGACTTTCCCTTGGTCACAGGTACCAATAGATACCACCAGTTATGTCGGGTGACAATGTGCTCACACAGTAAAATTCTACAGTGTCTGAGATCTTATTCTTGCCGTGCAACTCCTGGGTTTCCATCACCAATGATAAGATCTCAAACTTCTTTGATTTAAAAGGTCATATACAAGCTGTGTACTTCTACTTAAAGAAAGAAATGTTTATTAAATCAGACTCTGAGTTCTTGTAACAGGCTCTGCTTTATAAAGACATCATTCCTTGGAGAGTGCAAAGGTAGTTTCAGCACCCAGGTATCTTGCTCTCAGGTTTCTGGAAAGTCCATCCCCATCTCCCTGAAATATCTGCTTGATTTAAAATAACTAAATAGGGCCTCCCCTGTGGCGCAGCGGTTGAGAGCTGGGTTGTGAAGCTGCCCGCAGCCTCTGCATTGACGGTTCGATCCCTGGCTGCTCCCCGGCCACTGGAGGGTCCCACATGGCGCGCAGACCTCTCCTGCCGCCTGCTGCTCACCTCAGCAGTGTACTTCGGTCCTTCTGCCTGCTCTGCTCCCCGCTCTGGCTCTGGTGAATTCTCTCACCCTCCCGTGCTTCTGACTGTACCCAGTGCTTGAACAAATAAATAAATAAATAAACAAACAAACAAATAAAAATTAAAATAACTAAATAAAAAGTCCAAGGAAGGCTTGCCTTCATGATTAAATCAAACTTAAAAACCGTGACAATACTAAAATGAAAGATATTTGAAATGTTTCATCGACAGCTCTGCTCTTTTGTTGTCAAAACATTTTATTTCATCTGAATTTCATATAATACAAAAGTAATATACTGAACCTTTGTTGTTCAAATAAAAGGTTCTTCAGTTCTTCAAGTCAAACTTCCTCTAGAAGCAAATAAGAAACTTGGCATATAGTGTAGGGCAAATTAAGAAACTTTTCTTTTATAAGAATAAATTATTTGGCCTTTTGATATTTCAATTAAAAAACTTAGTTTATGTTAACAAATTTAGTTGTTAGAAGGTATGTCACCCATACAAAAGAATACACGACAGAAGGTATTTTAACCCATCACTAAGAAAAAAACAACTGATTTAATTTTTTTCCTGAATTTTTTTAAGAAGATATTCCATTTGTAAATTCAAGTTTGGTTGGCCCTTCTTAGTCTTTTTGCTCAATATTTTGAACATTTCCATTTTCTTCTTTTTGTATAGCCTTTGAGCCTCTTCTCTCTCTTTTTTTCTTCTCTCAAATTCCTGAAATTATTAACATGTAATTTTCATTAGTAACAAACAATAAAAATCAGTAATTATGTTAAGAGATCGATATGCAAACTTCAGCTATGAGTAATTTCATACTTTACATTATAATACACGTTATAACATACAATCTAGAAATGATTAAACAATTTTAACTACTTGTATGCAAATTAAAATTAGAGCATAGAAAAGGAGACATTTATGTTATGATTTTTAACATTTAAATTACATCCATTGAAGAGGCAGATGGGACGTTGGAGGTTATCTAGTTCATACAACACGAAAATCTTCATTTCCAGAGTATTTGATATTAGTTTTAAATTTGCCATCTGACAGATTTAATTCAAGAAGTATTTACTGACTATATATGTGTAAAACAGTATGCTAGGCATTATAATTATGTTCATATGATTTGCTAAGATATGCAAGTTCATTTGAGTGTAAGGAAAAATTACATTCAATTCAGTATTTTCAATTTCAATTCATAGCTATATATAATCCCTAAAAGCACTACTTGAAATGCATTATATTATAACCTTACCAAATACAAATAGAAGTATGTGACAAACATTCCTAAATAATGTACAATGTGCACTATTTTTCAATTTCCACGCAACAGTATAGCTCCAAAAAAGGACAGTGTGTACGGAGTGCTGTGTACGGTGGCTTATAATTCACAAAGTGCTTTCACAAACAATATAACACATTCCATTCTTTTAAAACTTGTTATGCTAGTTATTATGTTCATCACACAGACATGGCATTGTTGCGCAATAATAACGGAAGTGACTTATCCAACAAATCAAATAACTGGTAGAGCCAAGTTTCATACCCAGATCTTGTGAATTCAAAGTCTGTGCAACTTTACATTATGCTATGTTACATATCACTTAAACTTACATGGTATAGTACTTCATTAATTGTAATGAGCACAAAAATATCTAGAACTAATTTGTGAATTTAGGTATATGAAGTCTAGTTTACCTCAATGGAGTTTCTCTGAACAAAATTTAAAAAATTTAAATAGTCTTATGAATTATGAATCCTTAATTAATGTTCCTAATTTTGATTTCTCATGGGTAATGTTACTGAACTTTTACATTAACATTTGAAATCTATAAGCTCTAAGAAACTGTCAGTTTTATGATGACAAAGTTCTAGCATTCTCTATAAAGGGAATTTTAGATGGTCATTAAAAGTTTTACAATGTAATGGTCCTTATTATATTTTATATGTTATTTGAGTTCCAAAAGTGGCAAATATCAAATATTTTTGGTTAGGGGAAAAAAAGCAGAATGTAACAAGCTAACAAAATAACAAGATATAGAAACAGGTTCATTATTTTCATGGAGAAATGTTTCTGTTTCATCATAATGTGCCTCCATTCTAAAAATGAAAATTTTAGATGTTGAACTCCCAGATTTTTAATTATAGAAATTCTTTAACTAAAACGTAAAAGAAATTATATCAGTGCCATCTTTACAGTATTTTTGAATAACGCAATAAACTTTTTAAAGTGATAGGTTAATAAAGCTGAATAATAGAGTGCTAACTTTTTGCTAAGTTAATTTAGTATGCTTTTTAATTGGAAAGAACAACTCCTTTTAGTAAAGAAATATTTTATTCTAACACATTCCCTTTTGGGTTTTACTTGCTTCAGTGCAAAATTATGAAAATAACCTATATTTTTCCTAAATCAGTGATTCTCAAGTGTTACTTTAATAAGAATCTCTAGAGGTACTGGTTAAAAGTACTGGGTCCTGGAACATAATGCCGGGAAACATTGTCCCAGATACTTGTATTATCCCAGTTAGCAATATTTTAAAATCCTATCATAGACATACTAATATTTGCCTCTCCTCAGTAACATAATCAAGGAATTTGAATATATTTAAATTTCTGCTCAAGCCATTAATTTATTCAACTAATATTTACAAAGGACATACCATATGCCCCACACTAAAAAGTACAGCTTATATATATGTAACATATTTAAGACATAAGGAAAAAACAATTTAAATATTATAAAAATAGATCTTACTTGTTTCTTAGCAGCACGTTTAGCTTGTACCTGTTCATATTCTTCTTGTGCTTTCTGAGTTGATGTTTTCTTTTTATTTTTCTTTGGAATAGTAATGAAGCTTATAAGATAAAGGAGAACATTAAGCCATAAGAATTGGGAACAGCATAACCAAAACAAAGACACAATTTCATCAAATATAGTACTTATATAATAAAATCTCATTAATTCAAATTAATAGAGGGACAAAGAGTTAAAATAAAAGAAACACGACATTCATGTCATTGGTAAATGCACAAACAACAAAAATATAGTCGCAGAAATGAGTAAATGAGTACAGAAAAAGTTAACCAGTTATAAGTGGCAGAAATGACTGAAAAGGCATGAAATTGAAGGATGCTGTGGAAGTTGTAAGAATACATGAACATTAATTTCATAAAGTTCTCTGACCAGCTCATTTCTGTTCCACTTTATCTACTCAGTCATACATGGCACACCTTGGACCTAGTCCCCATGTCCAACCCTGAATAGATGATTTACCAACCGAAGGCCCACATTCCTTCCATTTCCTCAGGATATCCAATTGACTAATAATCTTCCTTTGCCCTATCTCTCAACTTTCCACCAACTTCGTGACTGCACTATGACACAGTTCAGTAGCTGCCTTCTCAAAGTAAACAAAAGCATAAATTACCTATCATCAGATCCTTATCCCCTTTTAACTACCAATTGCTTATTCCTATTCTTTCTTAGTCAAGTATAAGAACAGTAAAGAGACCATCGTCATTTCTCTGTTAGGTTTTAACTTCTTGCAATCTGATTTTTGCTTTTTGCGATCACTACTTTCAAACTACCCTGACCAAGACAGAAATGATGATGCAATACATTCAAGTCAAAAACGATGATCAAGTCAACAGGTACTTTTCAGTCTCATTTAGTTGATCATTAACTATTTTTGAAAATTTCATTCCCTTAGTTTTGCCGACATTCTTCTCCCCTGATCCGTTCTAGCTGCTCCTTCTCAGTCTGACATTTGAGAGCCTTTTCTTCTTTCTTACTCCACGTTTTTCCCCCAGGTCTTTCTTTCCTTAGTTGTCATACTCTTTCTGAGCAGGCAAACCCATGACCATAGCTTTGGATGCCACAGGTAAGGGCTATCTACTGAAAATCTCTCTCCAAAGTCACCAATAATTGCCTAGACCACAAATCCAAAGACCTGTTCTGAATCTCTTTTCCCTGTCTTTACAGTATTTGGTAGATGACCAACGCCTACTTTGCATAACCTTTCTTTGTTGATTTAGCTGTCACTGTACTCCCCTCTTTCTCCAATTACAACAGTTTAACTTCTTCAATGACAACTTTTTCTTGTTTTCCCCTCAAAGTAAGAAATCTTTAAAAGTGTGATTCCCCCCTCCTAAGAAGGTAAGAATCTTGTCTCATGATTTAACCTACCTCACTTCAATTATCACTGAGAATGTCTGCATTCCTAGTGCTTATCTTTTGCCTGAGCTTTACACCTATCATTCAGTATTATGGACAAACTTATTGAAAAAACTCAATTTTTGGTGTCTCTGCCTTTATCCCCAACTATACATTTTATCCTAGGGTCCTGTTTTCCATTGTTTTTAGTAAAAATAGTTCACAATTTGAAGATGGAATTTAGGTGAAGTAAAAACCTATAGTCCTATATAACAGCTGGTTTCCCTGTAAGTTTAAATTTTAGCATGTTTTCATAACTTGAGGTATGTGCAGATAGCTTTATAAACTAACTCTTACAAAACCAAACTCTCAGAAATCTATACCATTTGTTTTTTAATTGCAACTAAGCCCATGCCCTCTGGGAGAAAAATACAGATTAATAAAATTAATAGCAGGGCCTTCCCTGGTGGCGCAGGTGGTTGAATGCAGCACTGTGAAGCTGTCCGCAGCCTCCGCAGTGCGGGTTTGATCCCGGCCAGTTGGCGAGAATTCCACATGGCAAGGCAGACCGTTCCTGTCTCGCGTGCTGCTCCCCCACCACAGTGTATTTAGGTCAGTCATCCCCACTCTGTCTCTGGTAAATCCTCTCACCCTCCCACACATCTGACCTTTACCCTGATTCTTGTATTCATGAATAAATAAATATTTAAAAAAAATAATAAAAGTAGCACTAGCTAACCCTCATGTATCAATTCCTATGTACCATATACTTTTTAAATTATAATTTTTCTTATAATTATGCACTTATTATCATTTGTTTTAGAGGATATTGGGCACCAGCTACAGAGTTCATTCTACTAATCATTACACTAGTACTAAACCAAAATTAGTTTGATAATTATTAACAGCAGATGTTAAACTGTTTGTCTTATCGGGTTAAAAACACAGTCCTAGGCCTCCCCAGCGATGCAGCAGGTTAAGCTCAGCACTGTGAGGCTGTCCATAGCTCCTGCAATGCAAGTTCGATTGCTGGCAGGCCAGGGAGATACCCACATGGCACGGCAGACTCTCCTGTCTCGCCCGCTGCTCCCCTCAGTAGTGCTTTTGGTCCATCTGCCTGTTCTGCTCCCCACTCTGTCTCTGGTGAATCGTCTCACCCTCCCGCACCTCTGGCCTGTACCCCAGCTCTTGTATACATAAATAATAATAATAAAAAAATCTTCAAAAAAAACAACAACAACAATACAGTCTCTTCCTTGCCTAGCATACAAGGATGGGAAGTTTTAAACAGGCTGAGGGAGCAGAAGAGTTACCACAAAAACCGGACTCTGAGATCTTGGGTAGATAAAGGAAGCAATGATTATTATTGAAACAGGGGTATAGGGCCCACCCGTAGCCATTAAAGATTGATGTAAATTTTAAAGGCATACAGAGACTAATTAAGGCCTGACACTTGAGTACACAGCAGCTAGCACAGACCTGCATGTTAAATCTTAGAGATAGCCTACAAACTCAGAGTATGGGAAAGAACTAAATTTTTCTTTCAGTGGTCAGACAAGCACTTTCTAGTCTTGCCCCCATCTCTCCACAGGAATTCAATAAATCCACCTTTTATACTTCCATATTGTCTCTGGTGAATTCTTATACCTCTATGACCCTGGTGTCCCTTCACAGCCTTTGATCCCCCTTACATGGCATTAACCAGGTCCAAGTTAAGTTAAATATATTTAAGAGACTGAAATTCAAACCCAGATCTTTTAATTCCCATTATATTACTTCTTCAGTTGCACTAAACTAGCCTAATTCAGTCATTTAAGACAAAAAGAAAACCTCCACGAACACAGTTTCACCTAGTTACACTATAACTTCTATAGTGCCTTAAATAAGAAAAATTCCAATTTTGACATGAACTCTCTTATAATCTTTCATAAGATATTACTTTGATTTAAAACAAAGGATTTCAAAAGAAAATAATACGTACTTTACTTTTTCGTTAAGCTCTTCTTCAGGCTGAGATTGGTCAGTGCTACAGTGCTCCTCAGACAAAGTCTGATCAAAGCTACACTGTTCTTCTGGCAGTGTTTGATTAATTTGTTCTGACCTAGACTGGTCAACTTTTCTTACTTGCTTCCTCAGTCTTTTTTCTTCTGCTAAATAGAGATGCTTCAAATGATCAGGGTATCGGTCTGTGAACTGGGATTCCTGTGCAGTTTGAGCTTTCTTTTCCCTCCATAGTAATTTCTTATAATTTTGTTGAATCTTCAATTTTCTTCGAAATGCAAAGCCTTGCCCTACACGGAAGAATAGCAATCATAAATTATTTTCTCAAAAAATAAGATGGATGAAAAATGCAGCTGTTAATTTACAATGAAAAATCACAAGGGCGTTTCCAAAGATTATTTCAAGAAAACAAGCTTAAGCAAATGGAATAACTAATTCTTTTGGTTCCCTGCAAAAAAGATCAGGCAAAAAAAGATCTGGTTGTACAGATAGTCAGTAAGACCCCTCTCCCGCCACCCCCACCCCAAACCGATGAGGATGTTGCACTGGTTTTGTTATAGAGCAACCCCGATATTAAACGGGTTCCTGGCTGTGGGTCCTCACCCGCGCGCTTTAAAGGGACTTATGAATACTCTACTACAGACACACACACAAAAAGGTTAATAAAAGGTTTATTTACAAGAGGAAAGGAAATAAGGAAAATGTACAACTCAGGGAGAAAATAGGGAAATAAAGTCTTTAATGCGTCCTACCCGATCCGACGACCTGGAAACCCAAAGTCACTCTCAGAGCTGGCCTGACGCTGGGAGCTGGTGGAGAGCCCAAAATGGGGTCCCCCAAAGCCCACGTGTCTGCCTTTTCTATCCACCTGGCTGCTTAACCCCACCCTCAGGTCCTAGCCACCTTCCCTTTGGTGGTGATGGGATTTGGAGTTCCCAGTGTCTGGCTTTGACCTGGGGTGGGGGTGGAGTCCACAAAGCCTATATGGAAATAGCTTTGGGACATCCTTTTCCCTCTAACAGTTTATTGCATTCCCCAATCAAACGAATACCTTAATTCATCTATTCTTTTACTTAGAGTCTCTCACTACTCTACAATCATTTTTGAAAAATAATTCAACACAAAAGAGAGAAAAATAGTGTATACCTTTCTTAAAACGATTTTTACATTCTTAATGGGATTTGAAAGTGCTTACAGACAGCAAAACAAAATGACAAACACAAAGCTAAGCAAATGACGTTCAGTTAGAGAAGACTGGAATGCTCTGGAGTATTTGTAATCAGCAAAGGTTTGGCACTTTCAATCTTTAAAGTAATACACCCACAAATTCAAATACATAAACAGATGGACCCGTAGATGTTCTCAGCTACGTTTCAAGGAAGAATAATGTAGAGAAAAATGATTCTGATTAAGAATGCGGTGAAGTCAGGCTAGACGGTCAAAGATTAAAAGTCAGAAACACTGCTTCGCCTTCCCATCTAGAATTCTAAGAAACCCACAGTTTGTAGGAATGCCTTCCTCCGCTCTAAAAAGGGGCGAATCTCATTCATAAAGCATTTTTCTGTATTTCAGTGGATCACGTATCTTACGACTTTGCAGGCCTGAGAACTCGTAAAAGCCTCCCTTCCCACATACCCTCACGAATGCTCCCCACGAAAGCCTGCGCATGGTTAGGTCGCCACGTCCTCTGTTTTACTTTCTTATTCCTGGACCCGATCGGAGAAACTTCTTCGCCATGCGTCCCAAAAGTCCCCGTCCTCCTCCACCGTGCGGCCTGCTTCACAGGCGCCATGACATACCTTCCGCGTCGCGAGAAAACTACAACGGACGCCGTCAAAATACGTCATCAAGCCCAAGCAATCACTCACCCATCTACAGTGCCGCTCTGAGCGCTACTTACCCGGGCTGGGCTACAGATCTGGGCTCTACTTATCCGGCCTGTGCTACTTTCCGCCCGGTCTTCTTGGGGCCACATTTGCGCCACCTACAGCCCTGGAGGGTGAGCGTCATGGCGGCCTCTTCCCCGCTCCCAGTGACCCAGGACCTATCCGCGCTGTATGCCAAGTTGCAGGAGCTGGTGCGGTTCCTGAGAGAGGCCCTGACCATTTCCAATGCACATACGGTAGACTTCTACACCGAGTCCGTGTGGGAGCAAAGGGTCAACTTGCCCCCGGACCTCGTACTCGCCGTGCTGAGGAGGTCAGCGGCAGAGGAAGCCCGGCCAGCAGCGGCGCGCCCCCTGGTGGAAGGCGAGGAGGGACCAGGTGAGTGGCTGGTGGGCGGGGCGGGCAGGGAGGCGGAGCGAAGCTCCCTCAGCGAAGCGCGCCCTCTTGAGGAACTGAGAGGAACTGAGAGGACCCAGGTAAGCGGGCGCTGGGGCCAGAGGTGGGGCTGGTGGATTTGTCCTTGGGCTGGCACGGGGAGCCTTCCATAGTTGGTCTCTGGGTGCTGTGTACTTCTGTTAGGAGGAAAGGATGTCCTGAGTGAAATCCATACAGGCTTTGTGGATGCCACTCCCACTCCATCCAGACACTGGGAACTACAAATCCCATGATCCCCAAAGGGAAGTTGCAAAGACCTAAGGGCAGAGTTATGCAGCCATTTTCTCAGTTTGTAAATAAAACCAGCCATATTAGTGGGGCCTTGGGCACTTGGCTCATGATCTTAGCCAGGCAGGTTTGGTTTGGGGGTAGAGGGTCATTTGGGATTCCAGCTTGGCAGAATGGGTAGGACTTATTTAAGAATTTATCTCCCTCTTTTCTCCCTGAGTTGTACATTTTCTCATTCCCCTTTCCTTGTAAATAACTTTTGTTAACTTTTTGTGTGTACCTGCAGTGTAAGTCCCTTTTAAGCATGCAGGTTAGGCCCCACCGTCAGGCAACCTGTTTTATATTGGGGTTTCTCTGTAGCATTTCCACATTTTAAAAAAGTATAAGAAACAAGACTGGGGAATTCATTCACTTAGTAATTTGATTTTTTTTTTTTTTTTTTTTTGCTCGGGAGGAAACAAGGGGACCGTGCTTTCACAGTTCTAGTAACTTCCATATGAAACATGCAGAAGCTAAATCAACACTTAACGAAATACATAAGGGTAATTTCAAAGTATGAAAAAAAACAAAAGAAGAAAACAAAAAATGCATGTGATGCATGTTGTGTGAGGTGCTGCTTTAACTTAGCGGGAGCCTGAGAAGCTGCCAGCTGGCCTGGATTTTGGGCCTGGGAACCTCAGAGACCCTCAGGCTTGAAGAGAGGGCAGATTGGGGTTCAGGACGAAAGCCTGAGTGAGCTGGCAGTCAGGGGATAGGCTGGGATGGGGCCTAGCGTCCTGCGCCCAGCTCCCCGGCCATGGAGGGATTCTCAGCCCTTGGAGCCATTTTGTGGAGTGACCTACAAACTAAAAAAATTTTCATTTGAAAGATGACCCTGCAAATTACTTGACTATAGATTAGAGAGGCGAGAGCTAATTGGGTAGTTAGAAGTTTCTGTAGTACAGGAAAGAAACGACTATGTTGTGGACTAGGGTGTTAGTAGTAGTGAAGAGCTGGGATGTATATTAGCTCATTTGAAAACGATTTAAAAGTATCTACTGTATGTGATGCATTTTTTAAGGGTTTTTTTGCCCTAAGAAACGTAGATTCTACTAAAGTGATTATATTTTGGATGTAGAGTGATAAGGGACTCCAGTGAGCTTCTGGGCCTTCTGCTTTGCTTTCATGCTTTTCCAGCCTTGCCCTTGCTAATGAGGTTTATTCATTGAGTATTTTCTGAATGCAAAGCACCACAGAGGGGCCGCCTATAAAAGGACCTAGTAAATATCGCTTTCTTTAAAGTCACAATTGTTGAAAAGTGAGGCAGCTCTACATTCGCTGTCCTTATATCTAGTACTTATGATAATGTAGCATTCGTTTTTTGTTTTTTTTTTAAAGATTTATTTATTTATTTATACAAGCCTGGGCACAGTCAGAAGCGCGGGAGGGTAAGAGAATTCACCAGAGCCAGAGCAGGGAACAGAACAGGCGGAAGGACCCAAGCACACTGCTGAGGGGAGCAGCGGGCGGCAGGAGAGGTCTGCGCACCATGTGGGACCCTTGCCCGGTGGCCAGGGATCGAACCCGCCCTGCAGGGGCTGCGGGCAGCTTCGCAGCCCAGCGCTCAACCGCTGTGCCACCAGGGGAGGCCCGATAATGTAGCATTCTTAAGGAAAGAGCAGAGACCATATCTGTCCGGGAAACTGATGTATTCTCCAGCCCCTGCCTGTTATACATTGAATGCAGTGAAGATTCATTGAATGAATGAATGAATGAATGAACAAGTGATTACTCATGATAATTTCCAAAAAGAAGAAACCAAACTACCTTGATGTAGGAAGCTCAAGACTTTCACATGGGTCTAGGATGGACTTCATACAATGTAAGAATTAGATTGTCTCACATGTCCTAATAATAATAGGATTATATGGTATTATTTAATATGTAGTGTACTATTTTCTTGCATATTTTCTCCTTTAATTTTTATATCATCTTTGCGAGCTGGGTTCTGTTTTCCCTTAGTTGTGAAATTGCATCTTTAGGGCTTCATTTGCCAGAATAGTCTTTGGTGGAGAGTCAAACATAGGTCATTTGATTCTATAGTCTCAGGTCTTCATCACCATAATGAAAGCCTATCTGAATTATTTAGTAATTAGTTACAAAAGCCATTTATTGGGCTTCCGCGGTGGCGCAAAGGTTGAGCGCTGGGCTGCGAAGCTGCCTCTGCAGCACTGGTTCGATCCCCGGCTGCCAGCAAGGGTCCCACATGGTGTGCAGACCTCTCCTGCCGCTCCCACTGCTCCCCTCAGCAGTGTACTTTGTCAGTCTGCCTGTTCTGCTCCCTGCTCTGGTTCTGGTGAATTCTCTCATCCTCCCGCGCTTCGACTGTACCCAGTGCTTGTGTAAATAAATAAATCTTAAAAAAATTTTAAAAACCATTTATTAGGGCCTCCCCGGTGGCGCAGCGGTTGAGCGCTGGGTTGCGAAGCTGCCCGCGGCCTCTGTGGCGCCGGTTCGATCCCCGGCTGCTTCCTGGCCACCGGAGGAGGATCCCACATGGCGCACAGACCTCTCCTGCCGCCCGCTGCTCCCCTCAGCAGTGTACTTCGGTCCTTCTGCCTGCTCTGCTCCCCACTCTAGCTCTGGTGAATTCTCTCACCCTCCCGCGCTTCTGACTGTACCCAGTGCATGTATAAACAAAACAAACAAACAAATAAAATAAATAAATAAAGCATGCCTCTATTAAAAAAAAAAAATTTATTAACCAAATGTTTTTATAACATTGTTATTTGTTTTTGTTTGTTTTTATTGTTTCCCCTTTAAAAATGAAAGAATTGTCTTGTTCACTGCTATATCTTTTTTTTAAAAAAAGATTTATCTACTTATGCATGTAAGAACTGGGCTACAGGCCAGAGGCACAGGGAGGCGGGGATTGAGAGGATTTGCCAGAGGCAGCGTGGGGAGCAGAACAGGGAGACTGACTGAAATAACTGCTGAGGGGAGCAGCAGGCAAGACAGGAGAGGTCTGCTGCGCCATGTTGGTAACTCCCTGGCCGGCAGCCAGGGAGTGCTGCAGAGCACTCGTGCTGCAGAGGCTGTGGATAGCTTCACAGTGCTGTGCTAAACTCCTTGTGCCACCAGGGAGGCCCTTCACTGCTATATCTTTAATATCTAGAACAAAGCCTGTTCAGAGTAGGTTCCTAAGAAATGTTTGGCGAATGAATGAATGACAACTTATTTGTTCTCTTAGGATAGGAATAAAATGCTAATATCTTTTGAGAGAAACTTACAACCAATTTTTCATTTATCTAGGCTGGTTTTTCCATCTCTGAAATACTTTTGACCCTCAAGCTTCTTTATATAAAATATTCAGTTGTAAAAATGGTATTTTGTGAATTTTTATAATTTATGCTTCTAAGGAATAGTAATTTTCATTTATAAAAAGTTATGTAATGATGGGCATTCTTTCCATTAAGACCTGAGGTCTGAAGAGCATTAGAATCCTTTGACCAGACTTGTGTGGTATAAAGAATTGTTAGTTATTATTTACAGTATAGTTTAGCATTAAATTTTTAGACTGTTGAGTCAGCGAGGGATCAAATTTCAGTTCTACCACTTACTAACCATGCCTGTGACCTTGTGGAAGTTCATTCATTCAGCAGACACTTAGTAAAGGTCTTCTGTGGGCTAGCACTTTTCAAGACTTAGGTAAGTAGCAGTGAATAAAACAAAATTCTCTCCCTTCATCTTGCTTTCATTCTGATGCCAGTGTGCTCTGTTAGCCTTTGAACAACCCCAGGTTCTTGTCCCATGAAGCCATAAAAAGGAATTGCAGACATTTTAGATAAGTAAGCAGAGAGAAACAAACTTTAAGAAAGAAAGTATTTAGAGGAAGAAAGCAAAGACACCCAGGTATGCTGTACTTGGGAGGGGCAAGGAAGCCTTTGTGGGCCTGTGTCTAGGGGTATTTAAACCTTTTTTTCCTCTATTCTAAAATCTCAACCTACTTTGTGATTGGCTCTTTCTCCTAGTGGCTATACTTCTCCAGGCGATGTGCCCATTTTCCGAGCTCTTATCTTAGAGTTTCTCTTTTTACCTCCCTGTCCAAGGTATCCTAAAATTTATGCTTATTGCCCTTATTAGCCCTCCTGATTTTCTCCACCCTTAACTCTGAGGCCTCCCTTGACTCTCCCAAAGTTTCTGCCTACACTGTCCCTGAAGCTGCCTATTTAACCCTAACTTGCCCAGTTCTAGAGGAAAGAGGTAGACAATTAAATAGCAAAGTGCTTGTAAGGGCCGGACTGGGCACAATGCAGGTTTTTCTGATCCCATGCAGACCGGGTAAAGGAGGAGCCAGAGTCCTCAGTAGTTTTGCAGGTTTTTTATTTGGGGTTCACCAGGCATATGGCAGGCAGGGGTGCAGGCCTCCCAGCCCCCCAGCAAGTCTTCACTCTATCTGGGCTCTCTAGCATTCGTTCTGCTGCTTCTCGGCTTCTCTTCCGGCTTCTGCTTCTGCTTCTACTGCTGCTGCTGCTGCTGCTGCTGCTGCTGCTGCTGGCATCCCCGTGACGCCGCACTTAAAAGCACAGTCTTAACCTATGCCCACACCCTATTCCAGGTGCCCGCCATCAGGCATGCATTCAGGCAAGGATCCATCATCTATCCTGATGGCGGAAGGGCAGAAAAGCCTGAAATTTTCTTTACCCTACAGTGCTGTAGAGGAAAATCAAATAGAA